GCTTTATTTTTGGATGTCCGTTGAGGTCCTGCCCAGCTAGGATGCAGACTAGCCACTGTTTGCCTGCCGAGGCTCTGCCCTGCTGTTGTGACGCTCGCCCTGGCTCTGCTGTTCTGCTGTTCTCCGCCACGCCCTGCGGCGGAGTCTCTCTGTTGTAGCGGGTTGCCTCGTCAACGGCTGGCTGCGTCAGCAATGGGCATGTATCTCAGTTGGGGCGGGTTGCCTCGGTAATGGTGGACGCCCCTCCCCCTCAGAGCGTCTCGGGCCGTCTGCACGGGGCTTGTTTGAAATCGCGGTTTTGTTCGTCCCACTGGGCCACCCCTAACGCTCTGTCCCTGCAATCCCCTGGGCTGGCCCACTGTCCAAGTCTAGCTCAGTCTCAAGTCCAGCCCTCTCACGTCTCCGGTTGCCCGTTCAACGGGGCACCTGGATGAGCACGCCCTGTGGGGAGCGCTGGGTAGGGCCGGCCACCGCCACCCCGGCTGCCGGCTTCACCAGGCGGAGTTGCTGCCTGGCGTCCCGCGTCTCCTCTTCACTTGGGAATTTCCCCGTTCCGTGGGCAACAAAGATCAATCTGGAAATGCAGCTCAGACTCACCTCTCCATGGACACAGCGAGAGCTCCAATCCTGGGTTGTTCTCACAGCGCCATCTTGACAGTAAATCAGATTTTATAGGTTAGGGCAGATTTTTTATGTTTATTTTTTGGTCAGAGGCAATATTTCCTATTTTTTGAAATGATTATTTTTTCTATATTGTAATGACATTTACATATATATGTGTATAAATTGTCCTACTTTTTTCAGCCCTACCAATTTCATCCTATTCTCTCTTTAAAATAATCTGAATGATTATTGTTCTCTCAGAGCTATCCTTTTTACCCTTATCTCTTTCTTTCTTACACCCCAATGTTATATTCTGATTTAAATAACCTAAGAAATTAGCTCCTGAGAAATGTCAGCGAAAGGATAAACAATGCTAGCAGAACATATGAGTTATTCCCTAAATTTGGGAAATTTCTGAAAGAACAGATGAAAAGTTATAGGCAGTATCAAAACAAACAAGGAAGCAGAAAAAGTTACTGTGTTTTCATCCTGACCAGATGAGCACTCTTGGTGTGGCCAGTGAGTCTTCCTGTTCCATTTGTGTGTGCAACAGAAAGCAGTTGATGATTTTACAGGTAACCTGATGCCAAGATTGCAAAATGGAGCATAGTCTGCAAAAATATATAATTGTGTAAGTGTCTGTCTGTGTTGCAGTGTGAGAGATTGATATGGCACATTAGGTTTCCATTTTAGTGCTTTTTAGCTTTGTCCTGTCAGTTCCCAGAAAAGCTTGTCAACCTTTTTTTGAATCACTCCTGCATCGTTATGATTCTGATGATCAAAAAACATACCCAGTTTTCTAAAGCACAGCATTTCACAACCTTATGTCAGTCTGAAATGAAATGAAACAAAACACAATAAAACAAAAGGGTTACATCAGAAAAGAGCAAATGGAATGCTTAAAGAAATTTAGGAACATTTAAAACTGAAATATTTTAAGAATTAAAAATAAAACAAAGTTGCTTTACTAAACAAATCTTGAATCTTTTCTTGCTATTTGAATAGCAATGGTGGTGGTGGCTGGGGTGGGGAATTTCACTCATGTAAATAAAATGTAAAACGGTGTTTTGTTAATGACTTTATGAAGGGTGTGGTACATTTAAAGTTGGCTGTGTGTAAAACCATCTTGTTGGCATCCGCTTTTAGGGATCCCTCTGTCTTAAATCTCCAGGGAGGCAGAATGACATCATGGTTAAATGTGTGAAAATCTTGGCATTAGGGTGTTCCAGGTCCAATGCTAACTTTGCTACTTATCAGCTATTTGAATTGAGCTTTCTTAGCGTTGGTTTCCTCATCTACAACATGAGGTCAATAATAGTAACACCTCAGAGAGGTTATGAGAATCAAATAAAACCATACATATGAAGTGGGTAGTTCAATAGCTAGTTGTCAGTGCTCATAATATACTCAACAAATAGCTGCTGCTGTTGTTATTATCTGATCTCAGGAATAAGTTATGAAGTTAAATATATTGCATTTTTCAGGGAGTGTTTCTAATTATTCTATAATAGATTTTAATTGTTAAACATAAATTGAGGACTTACTTTTTTTTGAATGGGGATGGTGACGGGGTGCTTTCAAGTACTCCTGCATTCTTTACATGGGTAGTGGATCTGTTCCTCAGTATCATTTTATTTTTCCAAGGACGTTGTTGGTGGCAGGAATAAATCTAGTGACATGCCAGAGTGATAAGTGAAATTTTCTCCTCTCTCAGCATTACTGTAATAACATGGTTTACATCCCTCTTCATCTCATTTATTCATCCTCCCACCTTCTCATCCATCCAGTTATCCATCCATCCTCTACTAAGTGCCAGGCATTGGAGTAATGACATGGATAAGCTACAATTTCTGTTTCCAAGGACATCAAGGATAGGCAGGGTTTGGGGTACAAAGAGGGTGGTGGTAGTTGGGTTTCAGACACTTAAAGAGATAATTATTCTGCAAAGAACTTAGTATAATGATTGTGATATACACAGGACTATGTGGGAAAAGGGACATCAAGGACTTCCCAGAAAAATTTCTTTGCATTGGATTTTTAAATTCACCATCTCTGTATGAAGAACTCTCTCACTGGCAATTTGTTAATAACAACATGCAAATGGATTTAAATATTCTACAAACTCAATTAAGGTCCTTAGTTGCTGACAGGAATACATAAGGCTATTTAGCTTTTTGCTGTAAGTCTAACCTCCTTAGTCATCTTCAAAATACATATGTGTATCACTGCTAATGTTCTGAAAATGGACTAACATCGAATCATGGCTTGAGGGCTGCAGAATGTTTATTGTGAGCCAGACTTCAATAAGACCCAGCTGAGGTGCAATTAACTCAGTGAAGTAAATATTTGGAGCCTCGCTTTCTGTGTGTGTGGGTATATAGTCACAGAGTGTGAGGAACACTTGTATTTCCATTTATTTCATTGTTTCATTTATTTGGACATCAGTTCGTCAATCACACAGACGTATAGTCATATCCTCATTCTCCTTTTAAAGCTGCTTTGGAAGGTTTTTTTTTTTTTTTTTTTTTTTTTGGAGATGGAGTTTTGCTCTTGTTGCCCAGGCTGGAGTGCAGTGGTGCGACCTCGGCTTACGGCAACCTCTGCCTCCTGGGTTTGAGCGATTCTCCTGTCTCAGCCTCCCGAGTATAGGCATGCACCACCATGTACGACTAATTTTTTGTATATTTAGTAGAGATGAGGTTTCACCGGGTTGGTCAGGCTGGTCTTGAACTCCGATCTCAGGTGATCCAGCTGCCTCAGCCTCCCAAATCGGAAGCTTTTTGCATCATAAATTATCTCAAGTGAATTTCTTTTATTAAATGGTAAGTGCCATTTGGAGATAAGGTTATTGACACTGTTGTTGTTACTGTTATTGTTATAATCAAGGACTTGAACATGTCAGAAGAAAAAAGAAATCCTGTGATCCTAATAAGACCCCGCTCAGTTGTACCTAATTCCAGTACCTTTAAATTCACACTGATTTGGGCACATTTATTAAAGGAACAGTTTTATAGAAATTTTAATCTACCTTCATTTATCTCCACAATGTTTTTCTGGTATTTATTTTAAAGACAGTATCACATTAACAGAAACGTAAAGCCCACATCCCTAATGTTTATGTGAAAACAAACTACATTTGATTGTAGCTGAAGGAAATTAATTCAGCAAACAGGCTGGATTTCAGTTTGCAGTTTACAATGTCTATATTTCTGCAGCTTTAATTCTTTCAGAAACTATTTATCTTCGACAGGTTATGTACCATCCATGATTTACTTCTCTTATGACAAAAAATAAGAAATACAATGAGGAATAAAGAAAATGGCGCAGTGGTGTATACCTGTAATCCCAGCACTTTGGGAGGCTGGGGCGGCGGATCACTGGAGCTCAGGAGTTCCAGACCAGCCAGGCTAACATGGCAAAACTCCGTCTCTACTAAAAATACAAAAATTAGCCAGGTATGTGCCTGTAATCCCAGCTACTGGGGAAGCTGAGACAGGAGAATCACTTGAACCCAGGAGCTGGAGGTTGCAGTAAGTCACAATCACACCTTTGCACTCTAGCCTGGGCAACAGAGCAAGTCTCCATCTCACCAAAAAAATAAAAATAAAAATAAAATAAATAAATAAAAAAGGGGGTTTCTGACTTTCCTGGTGGAAGATAGATGTTAATGTCTTTGTAAACTTAAGAATTGGAAGAATAATATTGCTAAGGATTGAGTGACAATAAAGATGCAGCAGGCAATGAATTAATGTGGATTTCAGCTCCTTTACTTCAGTTTTCTTAGTACATTCAACCTGATGTAGAACATCCTACGATGTAGGACATAATTTTGAACATGGCAAGGAACTTAGTATGTGATATCCATTATCTGTTGTCCTTGTCTTCCCTGCAGCGCAGGATGCCACTTATTCCATTCTCCATTTTTATACAGTGTAGGGCTGAAGCACGATCCAAACAACACTGTGATACAAGAGGGAAACAGAGGGTAGCCAGCTCATCTTGGAGGGCACAGAAAGACTGGCGAGACACACAGAAAAAAAAAAAAAGCAGATCTTTATTTCATGTGGCTCTTATGCCCCATACAAGTAATGCTGGCAAATCCTTCCTGATCTTTTCACCACCAGAAAGACAGGCTAGAAAGGCAGAGAGGAGATGGAGGGAGAGCAAGAAAGTTAACATAGCTTACTCATTTATTTACTCACCAAACTAATATTTATTATTTGTTATGTGACAGGTTCCAAGGTTGGTTCTGGGAATTTGAAGAGTAATAAGTTACCACCCTTGCCTTCAAGGTGTTTCAGTCTAGCAGGGAGAATGATATTTAAACCAGTAATTAAGCTTGATAGGGTAATTATTTTAATGGTGAGCCACAACTCCGAACAGAAGGGGCACAGATGTGGAGGCACGAGCTCATCCTTTTATTGAGCTTTCTAATAAAGAACAAGATGCTTAACTCTGCTGATCACCAGCTTCTTCATTGAAATGGATAGGAGAGCATCTTCTCACTTGCAGATAGTGCATGTAAAGTGCCCAGAAGAGTGCTGGACACATAGTGGGCATTCAGCAAATGAGAGAGGGTGGTTGTGTCTCATGGGCTATGCAGGAGTCAAGGGCAGCAGGACCGTAGGAGGAGTCGTGAAGTCCCATGTCAGATATGCAAGAAAGGCCTTCTTGAACATCGCAAGAACACTAGGTACCAGGATTAGCAAGGAGTTGCCACTGATAGTTAATCCCTATTTCCCAACTTGTCTTCACTAGGTGGAATCTTTCCTTTAAGATGGCAGAGGAAGGCTGGTGTGGTGACTCACACCTGTAATCCCTGGTCTTTGGGAGGCTGAGGTGAGCGGATCACTTGATGTCAGGAGTTCGAAACCAGCCTGGCCAACATGGGAAAACCCCATCTCTACTAAAAATATAAAAATTAGCCAGGTGTGATGGCATGTGCCTGTAGTCCAAGCTACTCGGGAGGCTGAGGCAGGACAATCGCTTGAACCCAGGAGGAGGAGGAGGCTGCAGTAAGCAGGGATTGTGCTACTGCACTCCAGTCTGTATGACAGAGCCCTGTTCCCTGTATTGGGCCCCGCTTCCCCTCACTTGTCCTCCTTAGCTTCTGCCTCCTGTTTTTAGCACCTACCACTCTGATGACTAGCCAGGGCAGGCCTGGAGGCTGAGTTCAGTGATCTGTTGGGACAAGGGCTAGGCCCCACAAAGCCCCACAAAAATTAGCCAGGTGTGGTGGCTCGTGCCTGTAGTCCCAGCTACTCAGGAGGCTGAGGCAGAATAACTTGAATCTGGGAGGCAGAGGTTGCTGTGAGTTGAGATCGTGCTACTGCACTCCAGCCAGGGCGACAGAGTAAGACTCTGTGGAAAAAAAAAAAAAAGGGAAAAGACTAAATTTTTCCCTTTATTAAGGATAGCTCAGGTGAGAAGCCCATTGCTATTTTTATTGCACCAATTTCTGACACTTAAATGTCTTCCACATGAGTCACCTATTGGCACCCAGCTCCTTGTTTATGTGAAGAATCCTGTACCTCCACTAACCTCCTTCCCTTCTAGGCCTTCCATATATTTTCCAGTTGCCCTTCTATCAACTCTGTGTTTTACTATATTTGAGAAGCATTATGTTTTGAAGTCATATATCATGTTATATATAGAGAGAAATTAAATAGAATATTTGATTTTTGTTGCCACTTGTGAATGCAAAGTGGCTAGCACTGAGTAATATTTATTGAGCTGTATTATCAGGCACCACACATTCATTGATACATGCATTGTATCAGTGCTTCTCAGCTTTTGATGGAAATACATATGATATGGAGATCCTAAATTTCAAGTTCTGGTTCACTCAGTATGGGAGTACAGCCCAAACCTCTACATTGCCGACAGGCTCAAGGGTCATGCTGCTGGCCACAGGCTGCATTTTGAATAGCAAGACATCGTATCATTTGATCCTGACAACAACCCTATGAGTTAGAAATTATTTCTTGTTTCATATCTATGGAAACTGAAGTGTAGAGAATTTATCCAAGGTCATGTTGCTAGAAAGCAGTCCAGCTTGGGCTCTAAATCCAGATTTGCCTCCTGGGATAGTGTATATTATCTGGATTTTGGAAATATTCTCCAACATCCAAGGATGACCTGATGCTACCTGAAACAAAATTCATAGTTTTAGTTTCAATTTTGTCCCTTTTAAGGTTTTTTTTTTTTTTTCTTAATTTCTTTTTATGAAGGACTTTGTATTAAAGGGTGATTCAGATGTGTTGGATTTTGCTTCTAAAGATATGTGGAGTTTAGTATAATTTACTTGCCAAAATTATGGCCTAGGAAACATCGTGCTATTGATGGAATCCACACTGAACACAAGAGGAAATTGCTAGGGAAGGATGCGTAGTGGGGAAAGGAAATCCTCAGGCTGATTTATTGTTCAGCGCTGAGTGTACACAGTGTGCTATCCTTGTCATAGCCAAGCGAAAAAGGACGCAGTCCCTGTCCTGAACAGATCATTCTTTTAAAAATAATATTTTGGACTGCTTATAAAATATGGTTAGTAATAAAAAATTTGGGGTCCAAAAATCTAATACAGTATCGAAAATCCCGTCAAACTGGAGTCTTTTTATTTTCAAATTTTAAATGAATGCATTTCAAAAGGGTAACGAAGGATCACATTTATATCAAACAGCAAGAGTTCAATGTGGCAATATCTTGCCATGAATAATTTAAACATTAATTGTGGTTTGGGGGGTAGGGTGCAGTGGGAGTAAAAGGGGTGGTGTTTAGAGTCCCCAGAAGATTAACAAACACGGATGCACTGCTTGTGCACTGTGCAAAAGTTCTGGGGGCAAGTTCCAACTTTCACTAAGGATCCCAGAACAGCTCGGCAGGAGCTGCCCAGGGCCAACACGCTTTGCTCTCAAACCCGGTCGCCAGTGGCAGGCGCATGCGCAGTCTGGCACCGTGGCACAGGCCTTTCTCAGGCAGGTTTTTGTGGGGTCAGCAAAAGGGCCAGAACTGCCACCACGAACAGTTCCGAGCCTGACGGGGAAGGGGAAACAAGCTCCAAGTGAAAATCACCTCGCGAGGAAATAGGCTCCGAGATGGGGGCTGTTTCTGCAGGCGTCTCCACACACGCACTCTCACTTTCAGGGTGCCAAAACACCCCTAGGGGCAACTAGGAGGAACAGGCTGAGGAATCAGCTGTGGAGAATGGAGGGGATAGACCTGGAAGGCGCGCGGGGGCGACGATCTCTAAAACTTTCAGCGCCGTGCTCTACGGATGCTCTGGGCACTTTTTTTCATTTCTCTAGGGAGTCCGGGTGCCCCAATTAATCCGTCGCTCCTATGAGCATTTGTTGTTTAGGGGGCCCTGGGAGAGCCCCTAGTATTACACTGTTCAGCTACACTCCCCGCAAAGCCGGGAACCCGCCCCGAGAGAAGACCCCAGGACGCCGGGGGCTGCGTGAGCCCCGCGAGTCTGCGGGCTGGGGCGCGGGATCCCCTTTGTGGCCACCGCCCCCTCCGCCGGCCCCTCCCCCGCGCCCCGCCCTCGGCCACAGACCCCAGCCCCGGCCGCCGGCACGCTCCCACCCGCGCCTCTGGGGACTCGCGGACGGCAGCGAGACCGGCCGGCGCGCTGGGCATGCTCAGTGGCGGGCCAGGCGCTGGAGTCGGAAGCCCGTGCGCGGCCGCCGCCGCCAAGCCGGCCGGGGCGCACGGAGAGCGCGCGGGACTCGCTGCAGCTGCGGCCCGGTCGCGGCGCACCCGGGCCGGGACCGGAGCCGAGCCCAGCGCTGCACCCGCGACCCGCCGGCCGCGGCGCCTGCTCCCTGGATCCCGCGCGGGGAAGGGGCCGGCGGCGGCTGGCGTCGGCGGGGCGCGGAGGAGCCGCGGCGGCCGCATCCTCCCCGCCCGCCCCGGCCCGGCAGTGTCCCGGAGCCGTCGGGCATGGAGCCGTGGAAGCAGTGCGCGCAGTGGCTCATCCATTGCAAGGTGCTGCCCGCCAACCACCGGGTGACCTGGGACTCGGCGCAGGTGTTCGACCTGGCACAGACCCTCCGCGATGGAGTCCTGCTCTGCCAGCTGCTTAACAACCTCCGGGCGCACTCCATCAACCTGAAGGAGATCAACCTGAGGCCGCAGATGTCCCAGGTGAGGAGGCCGGCGCGGGCGCCCCGCCTCCAGCCGGCAGCTCCCATTAATCTTGCGGCTAATTTCTTTGTGTAAATGCAAACGTCTAGGTGCGCTGAGCTTGCCCTGCCTCCCAGCCTTCTGCTCTGGGACCACTTCGGCTTTTCCTACCTTGGCTTGAAATGGCTTATCGCCTCAAGCTGAATGCGAAAGCCTTGCGTCCGGAGATGGTGTGAGGATTTCGTAAAGGCTTTCTGTGAGGCGGGAAAGAAATAAGTTGTCTTAGGGTGCCCTTCACCTACTCTGCGTGTGAGTGTGGCGCGACAAAGGGAATTTGATCAAGCTCTTCTGTAATAACGAAGGGGAGGGCCGAAACGGGGTGATGGGGTAGTTTGCCTTTAGTCTCTTCTTTTGCTTTGCGTCTTGTTCTCATGTTTTCTTGAAAGAGGAACCATGACATAAATGAGGACTCGAGGAAGTGGAGGGCGTTCGGTCCCGTTATCTGTCCAGGACTGACACTGGTCGAAGGGAAGAACCGGGAGCAGAACCCAGAGGCTGCCCCCGGGGGCCGGCCAGCAAGCTCCATGGCTGTGTTTACAGCTCTTCCTAAACCATGTGAGAAGGACTGAGTCCAACCTTTCAGCAGCGACAGGAAATGAGAAGTTTCACTAGAGATTCTGCTTTCCTTCCTGCAGTGCCCGGCTCAGGTGCTGTGGTGCTGATCGGCCTCTGGGGCTGGAGCTGCCTCTTCGAGGGTGAAGCCAGGCACGCACCTCTGGAAGGCTGGGTGCACCCTAGAGTCGGCTCAAAAGTCACAGTTCAGTGGAACAGTAGTTTATTTATCCTGTCGGAAATTTTTTGTTCAGAAGGATGTTAAACTCGGTTCAGAGTGTCTTTCAGAATGTTAAAAAACAAAACGAAAACCAAACCTCTTTCAACTTAAAAGGGAGAGGGCAGAGCCCTCTCCATGACACATTTCAGCACTAATTCTCTATGACGCAGAGCCTCAGGACTTAGCAACCAGAGCCTTTCAGGAAGGAACGGGCTCTTTATAATTTAACAAATATGTATTTAAAGTTAGAGCACACACAGTCATCTCTGATTCTTGGTGTCAGTATTTCACCAGGGTCCCCTGCACTTCAAATTCTGCATTCCTTGCCTGCTTGCCTTCAACCTGCTGGTGGGCAGTCCCCAAGAAAGAACAGGCATGGAAGTGGGGAGAGCCATATGTATTTAAAAGTGAGATAAGTTACTTAATACCCCTATAAATCTGCATGGTGATTGCTACCTCTAGGTACCCCTTCAGAGTTATCTCAACTCTGGATATCCCTTTGAGGGGTTTAGCAGACTTTTTTATTCTGGTGGGAGCTGCAGTCAGTTACCTACTCTCACACATCCTCATTTTCCACTTTGCCTGTAGCCTCAGGAGGCAGCGTGGGTCAGGATACCTTGGCCACCAGTAGGGAGTACAGTACTGTGCACGTTTCCTGGAACTTGTTTCCTGGAACTCTCAGCAGTTGCTCTCAATAATTACATTTTCTGGACAGCTGAAGAGCTGCCTTTTTTTTTTTTTTTCCCCCTGAAGCCTTTATTTGAATGCTAACAATGGATGAGAATTGTTTTGAATGTATTTTGCTCTTCTCTTATAATATGTTAGATGTAATTTAATCTTTCTGATGACCAAAGATTGTCATTATAAGCATCATTAATGAAAATTGAGCACATTCAATGCTCTAAGGGTTCTGTTCCCAGTGGGGGTACCACAATGAGCAAACCAGAATACTTGCCCTAAAGGAATTATTACACTGTGCTATCAGATGATAAATCACTGGGTTATAATAAGGTAAGTGGGACAGCTAATGACCTTCTTTGTGCTGTTGCACTTTTGAGTTTTTAAGTCTGCCCAACCTTGAGCTTTCTGGTTCCAAACTAAGTACAGTTTCTCCTGTGATGTCCTGTGAGTGGGTGCTTCTCTCAAATGTGAATTCTAGAAGGCTAGTACCTGAATATGGTGAAGTCTCTTTTGGCTTTCCTCTTGGTTCTTGGCCTCATTGCAGAGGGGTAAGGCTGCTGAACAAGTGGGTGCTAGGCAGATGAGTTTGTATCATGAAGGTTGTTATTAAATCCTTAAATGAGACTTATGAAATGGTTTTATGAAACAACTTGGCATATTTAACATATCTACAGTGCCTAGCTTAACATGTACTTAATATGTCCTTAATAAATGTTCACTATTAGCAAAATTATGTAAAACATTTTTTTTGCTATTGTTACATTAAGAGTAATAGATTCCAACAGGAATTTTAGAAGAATTGTAGAGGCCTACCAGTTCCTTTGGGCTGATATCCCTAAACATTTTGCCTCTAACTAATATCGCTCTTGGGAAAGTTTCTGCTGTAGTGAATAACCTGGTACACCCTGTCATGTCCCAGCAGAATTTATTCCCCTGGAGTTAGATGTCATTATTAGTACTTGTGGCTTTTTGCTATGTCTGAGAGTCGTTCTGTCCACCCAACTTAGGTTCTGTTGATACTAATTTGAAATAGACTTTTTTTTTTTATATATAGCATATGATCTCCTAAGCTGAGAAAGAACTAGAAGATGTCACTTCAGAGTTTTGTGTCATATTGAGACTCTAAGGAGCAGATGTTGACAAAGGAAATTTTAATTTATTGATGTTTTGCTTGTAGCCTGTTTAGTTTTCCTGAAATAGACTGTAAAATGACCAGCCTTTTACAATTTTTAAATGAGTGTTTATTCCAGTGAGTGGGATGCTTTTCCATTCTCTGTTAGCCTTCTGCCTTGTTTGCATTAAAAATAAATAAATAACTGCAAATAATGACTGCTCAATTATAGGTTTGAATCTTGGAATCTTACTAAGTTAGTTGATTATCTTTCAAAATAAAAGCATGGATGGGATCCCAGTTCTCTTACTTATTCTTTCTGGATGTGGATATCAGTTTGTTTTTGATCTTGCCATCTTGGTAAGAGGATGATCTTCAGTTCAAAAATAAGTATATTTTTTCATGCTGATTTAGCTTTTGTTTTTATTTATAATGGATTAAAGAGGTAAACTTAATCACATTTAGTAATACGTTTAACATGTTCCTCATATAAAGAATACAGTTAAGTAAAATGCTGTTGGTAAGTGAATATCTAAGAAATTTGGTGTCTGTATATTTTAGATATTAGTGTCTGTAACTGAGATTTATTTTCATCCAAAACAGTATTCAAGCCCAGACACAAAGCACATGAATGATTCGGGAAGAGGGGAGCCTACTGGCGATAGCTGTACTGGATGTGCAGCACGTACTAGGGTTGGGGTGGGGGGTGTGCCTGTGGAAGGGCATGAGTTATTGGCTTGATGCTATTTTTAGTGTTTAAGAAGATCTTCATGAATGCCTATAACCACCCCTAGCTCTATCATGAATTAGAGTACCTTAGTCTTAAGTTTAAACTTAAAATTTTGCTTTATACTATGCTTTAGAGTAGGGGTAATACATTCGATGGGTTTACTGGCCACTATGAACAGTATATGTAAACTTTTAATTGTCTAAATGAATAATTCAGACTTGAAGGATTCCTTCAATGACTATTTACTATGTTCCAGGCACTGTTTCAGACACCGTTTGTCTTGGACAAACTCAACAAAGTCCCTGCCCTAAAGGGATTTGGATTTTAGTGGAATTGAAGTATACGTAAATGACTATATAGTATAATGTGCTATGAACCCATATGAAGCTGAGTTGGGAACTAGAGAGAAATGTAATGCAATTTTATAGAAGTTAGTCGAGAAAGTCCTCTCTGAGGGAGTGACAATTAGGCAGGGACCTGAAGCAAGTGAGGGCACACAGGAATGTGGATATTTGGAATAAAGAATATTCCTGGCAGAAGGAATACCAGGTGCAAAGCTCCTGAGGTCATTAAATGGCAGGTATACTGGAGGAGCAGCAAGGCCAGTGTGGCTGGAGGGAGAGTGAGTGTGGGAAAGAGTGGTAGGGTTGAAGTCAGAAAACGGAAACGAGTTTTAGAACTTGTGGGCTACTTTAAGAACTCTGGATTTCACTTTGAGTGAAATGAGAGGTCAACAGAGGGTTGAGCAGAGGAGCGACATGGCCTGATTTATGATTTACCTTTTCTTTTTTTTTTTTTTTTTTGAGACAGAGTCTTACTCTGTAGCCCAGGCTGGAGTACAGTGGCCGATCTCAGCTCACTGCAACCTCTGCCTCCTGGACTCAAGCGATTCTCATTCCTGAGCCTCCCGAGTAGCTGGGACTATAGGAACGCGCGCCACTACCACCAGCTAATTTTTTTTGTGTTTTAGTATAGACGGGCTTTCACCATGTGGCTCAGGGTGGTCTCCAACTCCTGAGCTCAGGCGATCCGCCCAGCCTCGGCCTCCCACAGTGTTTACCGCCTCCCACAGGGATTACTGCTGTGAGCTGCCGCGCCCAGCCCTGATTTATCTTTCCTACAGTTACTCTGGCTCCCATATTGAGAACAGACTGGAGAACAGCAAGGATGGAAGTGCCCAAGCTAATACATCATTCAGGAAAGAGATGATGGCGGCTCCTCTTATCAGTGTAATAGCAGGGCAGATGGTGGGAAGAGTAGGCTCAGAATATATTCTGAAGGTAGAGCCAGCAGGGGTTTATTGATGGACTCAGATTAGGGGATATGAGCAGAGAGGAGTCAAGTATGTCTCCAGAAGTTTTGACCTGAGAAACTAGATGATGATGTTCCCATTTATTGAGATGGAGAAGACTGGAGGAAGTATGGTGTTGAGGTGTATGTGGGGAGAGGGGAAGACATATCTGGAGATAGTTGTGATTGAAGTGCCCAGTAGACATCTAGAAGTGTACGCTGAGCAAGTTGGAGGAGTTGGAGATGTAGGCATAAATTTTGGAGTTATAGTATTTAAAATGATGAGACTGGGTGATATCACTCAGGGCGTAGTGAAGAAAGAAGAAAAAGTCTGAGTGAGCCGTTGGGGCCTGCCTGTTCATGAGGATAGCGAGATGGGAGGGAAACCGTGAGGGAGTTAAGAGGCAGTGGCCACAAGGTAGGAGGGAAACCAGTAGTGTGGTTCCAGGAAACCAAGTGGAACAGTATTTCTGTGAGGAGTGATGGCATGTTAAATGCTGCTGATCAAGTAAAATAAGGGCTGAGGATAGAAGATTTAAATAGTGTCAGATTCCTCGATAACCTTGACAAAAACGGATTTGGTGATGTGGTGGTCAAACACCTGATAGAGGGTCGACGCAGCAAGTATAGACATTTCTTTGGTGAGTAATTTTGTTGTAAAGAGGACAGGAAAATGGGGTAGTGGCTAGTAGAGGAAAAGAAATCAAGATATGGGTTATTTTATTTTTATTTATTTATTTTTCATTTTTGAGATGGAGTCTTGCTCTGTCACCCAGGCTGGAGTGCAGTGGCGAGATCTTGACTCACTGAAACCTCTGCCTCCCAGGTTCAAACAGTTCTCCTGCCTTAGCCTCCTGAGCAGATCAGATGACAGGTGTGAGCCACCATGCCTGGCTAATTTTTGTATTTTTAGTAGAGACAGGGTTTCACCATGTTGGCCAGTCTGGTCTCGAACTTCTGACCTCAGGTGATCCAGCTGCCTTGGCCTCCCAAAGTGCTGGGATTACAGGTGTAAGCCACTGTGCCTGCCCTAGTTATAGTTAATTTTCTTATGACACAATTCTTATTTTATATCTATTAAAAGAGATCCTTTAGATGGACAGATTTTCTCATATGGTACTTTTGTATATATGTATATGTATGTGAAAAGATATATCTGTATATGAACAATGAGAATATATGGGCACAGGGAGGGGAATATCACACACTGGAGCCTGTCAGGGGGTGGGGGGCAAGGGGAGGGTTAGCATTAGGAGAAATACCTAATGTAGA